AAGCTTCACGGAGGCAGATTCAATCCGCTAGCGGCCTCAATCCAGTGAGTGGACCACATCTCTCTGTGGACTGCACCCATTGCTGTACTTAAATCTACAGGACTCTGACAGACCCCCTCAGTCCATATGCCAAAGCCCTGGCAGTCAAAACCAGGATAAACCCATACTTAGCTTTCGAGAACTGACGAGATTCGGTGTGTTGAGTGTGATTTGGTCATTATGCAGGATACACGCTTTCAATTAGATGTTCTTTTTCTTAGCTCTTTCGGTAAAGTCAAGTTGAAGGGAAACAATAAAATAATAATAAAAATATAAAACATATATTTTATTATTGTATTGTTTCCCTTCAACGTGACTTTACCGAAAGAGCTAAGAATATGAATTACTGCAGTCACGAAAGCTTTAAATCAAAATTTAGGTGTTCTTTATTGAATGTCGCGAGAGGGCATTTATATTTGCTCACAATGAAGATCTGGCTGATGGTGGATCACTTTAGGAGAGGCACTACTTTGAAACTCCCTTTTTGTCCAGAGATCAACAATCATATTCTCTAACTTGATGACACTGTTTTATCCACGTCCCTCGACCTTCTATTCTCAACGTTCCTTCTGTCACAATCGTGTCCTGGTGTTGTCAGCCACTGTCCTGGTGTTGTCAGCCCCTGTCCTGGTGTTGTCAGCCACTGTCCTGGTGTTGTCAGCCACTGTCCTGGTGTTGTCAGCCACTGTCCTGGTGTTGTCAGCCCTTCTCAGTCTGTCAGGTCCACCACCGGTGTTGCTGATCGTTATTGTTTGTGTTAACTCATATGACCATTAAGCATCAACATCAACCATGATCGATCCACTGCTGGATGAAGGCCTCGCCAAGTTGTCACCATCCCTCGTGGACTTGCAATGCAAATAAACACCCGGCACCAACACACGAGCCGATCTCGCTCAGTGCTCCATCTCCACGATGGATGTCCTCTTGGGCGCCTTCTCTCCCCCAGGTGCCAACTCAGTTGCTATTATTGCCCAGCAGCCAGATTCTCTTCTAATATTGCCAATACGATCAAAGTATGACGATTTTGATTACAAATGAATTAATTTACAGCCCCTTGCCACCATCGTTGCGGCTGAATATCTCCCCAAGATGTATTGTTCGTGGAGGTTTTGTTTAACCATACTTCACCATCCGTGAGAGTGCGAGTTCGTGAAAAGACAGGCACAACACCGATGTTGACACCACTCGCCACTGTTGTTAGCTGGGGCTGGGAGTCTCACTCAAGTTGTTGGGGTCCAAAGCACATTGCGTTAACCATTGCAGTATCACTCCTCCCTACGCCATATCCGCTGTCCGCCCGTCAAGGGATGAACACAGGCTGTTTGCACCGCGCATTTACCAACGCCTAAAGAATCCATCACGTTTCCCGTGAACAAACTCCACTGAGTTCACCACAAATGCTGTTCGTGAACCCTGGTGTGCGTTATTCAGAAACCAACCGCTAAGAGGCGTCGTAGCCTCCTCAAAGTTATAAATCATCGCATTCGCAGCATATTCCTACACGCTGTGCATCAATCCATTATGAATTATTGTCATTTAACAGAGGTCGACCGATAAAACTAACCGCACACGCGCGCACGCTTGGTAGTATGAATATTTTAAGAGGTGAGCTCGTGGGCTTCATCCCTGTAAACCTCGACACGATCTGCCGTGGCAATGACAATGCAAACCATACTCAAGTCCACTACTACCACCACCACCACCAAGGCTTTGATCGTCTCGAACAGTGGTTCTTCTTAACCTGGGGTACACGCACCCCCTGGGGGTGCGTGATGCCCTTTCTGGGGGTGCCAGGTTTGTTTTGGAAGGTAAAGAATCTAAACACAAATTAAACACGCGCATGTAAGTACAACTACTTCGTTTCATCAAAACCTTTCTGTATTTAATAACACATCTTTTTTCACGATTAACAACCAAAATGGTGCAAGGCTACAGTAACGGTTAAGAACCACTGGACGAGAATATTCATGTTGTGCGCGACTAAACATCACTCAAGCTTTCAATTTATTTGGCAATACGCTTTATTATGAGCAATGCACTTAACATTCAACCACGGAGTTCAAACTGCGAATTGTAATTCCTTGATTATGACTGATACTTTAGCCTACATTATACAATACCGGGCCATCACTCCAATGTGTTTATGATGTTAAATGACAAATGCAAACCAGAAAACCAGAACTTTGAGGCATGCTGTAAAAGCGGCCGTGTGTGTGAACAATGATAAATTCCGTTAGAGAAAATCCACACGAAGTCATCAAGACAAAGATTCCGAGTGCTTTGGTGAGGCCGTAATGAAAATTCGGTGATTCTAGTGGGGTTATTTACAGCATCTTTGTGTTTCTCTGTACAAACTGTTAAGCGAGGAGATTCAATGCAATCTTAGCAACGCGTAACTTCCAATGAACAGGGTGAAACAAATTTCGCAGTTCCAATTGGACATAGGGGCTGGAGAAGTGGCGCCTTGATGTTCGTGGCGCTGTGCTGCTAGCCAGGGTGACTCAAGATGCGATTCCTGGCCACGGCTAACATCAGTGGCAAGTGACATCTGCGCGTGCCCCATCTCTCTCGCCACCCCTTCCTTCACCAGGCCACACGGAACACTGCGGTGAAGTGGCGGTGAGATCCCCCCCACGTGATCCACACACACGGGGAGACCTTCACCCAGTAAGTAGATTGGCAAAAGCGCTGAGAGTGATGACGCAGAGGGTCGATTTACACAATTGCGCACGAGAAGTTTGATCCGATGGTTTTTTATTGTCCTTCTTTGCCGAGTCGCCCATGTAAATGTGACATTGTGAGTTGGCAGGAACGCTAAATCCTGTGCACACAAGGTGGGCAATAGGTGAACCGCTCCATCTTCCGAATTCAAACCGTTCGCGTTGTTCTAGAAAGCTAAACGTGAGCATTCAGCCGGCAGTGTTTGTCAAGCCCTCGAGTTGAATTTGCACTTCCAATCGCGTTGAGTTGCGATTTATTTTTAGTGTCGATTCTTAAAAAAAAAATAAGTTAAAAGTGGCGTTTTTTATAGGCCGTGAAATTAAACAAGGGTTGAGAATGTCACACCATGGCGATTTACAGCGATTGTGTGTTTTATATTTCGTGTTTACATTATCATGCATTGCCTGCGACTGAAATCATGGTCACCTTCGCCAGGTGAGACAAATGCGGAACAAACCGTTCCAAACTTTGTACCTCCTTAAAATAACCACCCCACGGATAGTTATACAGGCATACAAATCTCAGCACCAGCCAAACAGCTCTATGCTTCTAAGTGCGGTATAGTACAGGTACTTGTTATACATTATAAAACACAGCCCCTTGTCAATTTATATACTGGATGAAGGCCTCCCAATACCTGTGTAGACCATGGAGGGTCTTTGACCATACTTCACCACTCTTATCAGCGTGTGTTGGTGGAGGGAAGACGGACCGGTTGAGATCACGTGCGACTGATGTTAGCCATAGCCAGGAATCGAACTCAGGCTGCCGGGTTCATATAGCGGTGACGAATACATATTAGTGAGTTTCTGCACCACAGTGCGTACAGGACTTGTTAAACGCTCCCATGATTGGTAAACCCGATCTACACTGCTAGCAGATTCAATCCCCCATTTAAGTCCAGCTTCAAGAATGCCCTTGCTCTCGTTCTGAATGTGGCTGACTGGTTCTTCTCTCATCTTTGCACTTCTGCCAGTCTTATCTCAATCCCTCTTCGACCTTTAAACCTTCACACACCATTCCCTTCCTAAATGTAAATAACCACCCTCACCCCACCCCATCTTCAAACTATCCAGATGAACCTGGGCATTCCCTTGACATGGGACATCTCGTCTGTAAGGAATGTCTTGGGTGTGTATTTGGCACGTACAGCAGTCACATAACGACACGTCCACAAACACCGAGTTGTTTTGTAAACGCGTCTCGATATTCGATCGCATTCGGACGCTCTCTGAATCAAAGTGTGTTGATTGTATAGCGTAACGCAACATTGGGGTGTAAGGTGCGCAGAGCCTACGCGCGTCGCGGAAGCGACAGCAATGGACAGACCTCCGTTGGCATTCAGCTCATGAACAGATCGCCGTACGCAAGAATCAACTGGAATGGCTAGACATGGTTCCATGCCATTTGCCGCACCGTGGACAGCAGCCGGCCTGCACTCATTGCCTGAAGGGGACACATCCACGCGGGTGATACTGAAACACCTGTATGCTCGACACGCCCTTGGATTATTAACCACAGGGGCGAGGATGGGTTGAGAACACGCACGGCCATTCAACACTTTCGTTTCAACTCAGTGCATCGTTCATAACGGCATCGTCACTAAACCTGACTTGATAATAATAATCATCATCATCACCATCGGCCACGCCGGGGGGAGCGGCCAGAGAGAGAGAGAGATGAGCGGTGGGAGCGATAAAGAGTGTTCGCGCGGTTCGAGAGAGAATGAGAGCATCCACAATAATGGTGGTAATTGTCCGGTATCCGATGCCCTCCGGGCGCATCCACAAACGATGCTCTCCGGGTGCATGCTGTGAAAAGTCCTCGAGAGACACACGCGCGCGCGCGCGGCCACGTGTAACATGAGCGAGGACTCGCACGCACATCCCCAAAGGCGCGCGCAGACACACGCGCGCTTACACGCCACAACGTGGTCGGGCATTTGATGGAGTCGCATAGGAGTTGTGAGCCTACAGGTTAGGCGTGGTGGAGGGTTGGAGTTGGGATGTTGGAGAGGGTGGGGGTCAATGGTGGGGGGGGGGATGATGAGGATCGGAGAGAAGGGTGAAGTACATTACTATGGGTGGGAGTCACGCGTCTTCACCGTTGACGTGTCGGGAGGCCGCGTCTCAAGGCGTTAGAAGTTTGGGTTGGAGCAGCGACCGCGTTGACCCTGCAGCGCTGCCGCGCGGGGCTTTCTGTACCACGCATCGATTAATTATGACGGCAGTAATTGTGCGTGCACTTTATTTAGAACGACACATCTGTGTGGCAGAAACGTGAAACAAACCATTGTTTTTTCTTATGCATTGCCAATTTTGTTTTTGCAAAATATTTTAAATAGTCCATCTATTTTTGTAGAACAACATCGAAGCACCGTTATATACCCACGTTTCAATAAACATAGTTAACTTTCGTTCAATAAATACATAAACAATTGACTAATTAAATACATAAATAATTATAATAATAAAAAACATGACACCACGTGCAGGCTATTTTCACAGTGGCGCGATTATAGTCTTACTTTACATTTGGCGTATTGGCTGTGCTGCTTGTGAATAGGGATCACATTGTCCATTGCTGCCCGCATAGACCAATCCGGAAGGCCACATTTTGCTCTGCAGATTTAAATTTACTGACTTGTTAACATCAATGTTGGGCTATAATTCAGATACGTGGAGCCAGACAGACAAAAAAGCACACACACACACTCTCTTCCAAGATGTTAACCAAATTGTGTCCTCGTTACTGCCTGTGGATTGTCTCCCACGTTTCTTTCTCCCCCTTTGCATTTGTCGGTTCACGACCTCTGCCAAACATTTGTCCTCGGAATATGAAATTACGAACGGAATGAGCCCGCTCCGCGCGCCGTTCGCTCGCCACGTGTCTTTTCCGGGCCGTGCCGCGAATCTGCGCCCCGTTAACATAATCACGGCTCAAGCGCGCGGAAAATTTGTCCCTCTTTTTGACGAATAGCACCCGCACGTAACGGGGGGGGGCCGCGGCAATCCGAAGCAATGCTTGACAGCTCGTCGCGTTTACGTTGCGAATCACGAGGGTGGTTTGTAACGCGCCCTGTGGTCAATTTCGCGGAGGTTAACGCAACAAAAAAATGAAGAAAACGCGTATCGTTTACAACGTCCTGGAAACCCTGACCGGCTGTCTCAATTATGCGAACAAAAAAGCCTGCAAGTAAGCAATAAAGAGCGTCCATTGGCAGACAAAAACCGGGGCGCTGTGAAATATAAAAAAACGCAGTCGCGCCACTGGTGATGTTTTGCTTTAGTTGTTGTTGTTGTTGCGCAACCAATAATGATGCCCGCCGACCCTATCGAAGAGTTTTACGCATTTTCAGAATATGAAGATGCTGCGTTGTGTGCGAAGCGCATTTCCCCCACAGCGGTAACAACCAATGACAATCACAGGTTACATCGTGAGCGAGGTTCAGCACCGGGGAGCTAAGCGAGAACGATCGTTGCTATGATTTGCCTTTAGCGACACCCGTGCGTGCGTGCGTGAGCACATAACTTGAAGGCAACCAACTCCTCGTCTGAAATGCCAAGGATTCCACACTTCTCGAGGAACGCGCGCAATGCTTTCGCGGGCCGCCTAGAGGTGTCTCCCTTGAGTTAGGAATTGAAGCGTTTTGTTGAGCGTTAAGGGACGCAGCACTCAAAACTTTGCAAAGCGACGGATTGATGTTGGTGATGATGAATCGACCGCAACAAAGCTCAAAACGACGTGGATTTCAACCGACCTTGTGTTTAATATTGCACACAGAGCGCAGCAGTTAGCGATGTTTAACCTCGCCTCATGGTGATTTGCAAGCGGAGCACTCATGGTTAAGGGGGGTGTTATTTTAGTTCCCAATTAATGGTCTAAGCCGGCTATATATGGTCGCGTTAATGCTGAGACGCGCGCTGCACACGAGACACGAGACTTGCGTGAGTATAGCGGAGGTGACTTTATGGAAGAATATTTGCATATTTCACATTACCTTTACATTTCGAAAAAAATTAAACATCTAGGCAAATAAATCGATAAATAAATATAACATATTACATTTACATTATCTCTTATTAACGTCAGTTTCCTTCTTTTACTTAATATTATTATCATCGGTATTTTTTGCAAGGTAACAAAATATGATGTGACTAGCAAACAATACGGTATATATGTACATATATACCACGTGGGAGATATGTGTCCAATGTTCGTTTCGTTTATACTGTATATTTAGAAAAATAACGAAACGACATCACCTAGTGTACAAGGCTACACGTAATTATCTCGAATCGCATCCAGGCCAGATGCCTTACTCCGCCAAGCAGCAGAAGTTATGTTGTCTTTTAACACATCACATCAGTCTCTTTACTTATTAGCTTTGTCGTTTTGCTCCAATTCATTGCCTTTCTTCTTATTCTTGCTCTCCTTTCGTCGTCGATCGTCGTAGTCATCATCATCATCTCCTTCTTCCACCTTGTTTTTTTGTGTTAAGTTCCATCCCAACATCGATGACATCCTCCACCCTTGTGCGCGCGCACTCTCTCTCTCCCTCCCTGCCACGGGGAGATATCGATGCACACATCCACGCGTATCCTCTCCGGACACGAATGTCATAGCAACTGAGTACGCGCGGGTGCGCGCGCGCGCACGCGCGAGTGCGCGCGCGCGTGAGGTCCCGTAGAGGCGCCGCCGCCTCCTCCGTAGTCTTCGGTCTCTCCCCCCCCCTTCACCATCAGCCCTCCAGAGCTCTCCGGGACGTCTCGGCTCCTCGGCAACCGCAGAGATATCCGCTCGGCCTCAACCCGCAGCGACGGCAAGTGCGAAATCACCCGTACAAAAAAACCACGCGTCCCCAGATGTCCCCCCATCAGCACGAGCATTTGCACTCGGTGAGGACGGGATATTGTATAGGAATCCACGTGCAGAACCTTTGCCGGCCCCATCCCTGGCAGTGCCATCGCAGGAACGTCTTGTTGCTGAACTTGACCGGCTTGCACACCATGCCCTCGGGGACGGAGCACGAGCGGGCGCTGTAGCAGCTCCCTTCCTTGATGTAGCGGGGCCAGAAGCGGACGTTGAGCTCCTTCCAGGAGTACACCACGGGGCAGGCGGTGTGCGCCCACAGCCACTGCAGGAACTTGCGGCGCGCTCGCTTGCCCAGCTTCAGCTTCTGGCCGTACAGCGTCTCCGTGAGGTCGAGCCTCTTGATGTCGCTGGGTATGGGCCCCGTGGGCTTTGGCTTCCTGTCCGCGGCGGTCACGGCTGCGGTGGTGGTGGTGGTTGTGGTTGTCGACTCGCCTCCCGGCTGCCTCTCGGACTCGGGCGTCGCGATGGACATGAAGTTGTGGTCGAAGTTGCTGCCAAGCTTCTTGAGGAGCGCCCTCTCGTCCAAGTCCTTGGCCTTGGGGTCGAGCTCCGGGTCCGGGTCTTCCACCAAATCTATAACAGGGAGGTTTTCACTCGGGACCGGCCGCAGATGAAAGTAATGCTGGCACAGTCCTTGGTGATTCCTCATGAAGAATAAAAAGAAGCAGGCCACAAACAAACACTGCGACTGCTCCATTTGTTCGGCATACGCGAGTCCACCAAATTGAATCGCGTTCACAAATAGCTCAGTCCCGTACGGAGCCCGCTGCTTTTAATAGAACGGGATGGGATGTCTCCGTGCGGTTGCAGCGGCCCCGCACACCAAAAACCCACGAGGCGGCGGAGGTCCCGCGTTCGTTATTGGAGCCGCCTTCTCTCTCACTCACTCGCAGGCAATCCTCCCGCTCCGGCTAATATAAGCGGGCCAGATTCACGGCAGATGCATTTAAAACGCCATGGCAACGTGTGGCTCCGCGCAGCGACAACTTGTCTAGACGGCGTGGCTTTGAGTGGCGTGAGACGAGCGCGCAGCCCATTGAGCGGCGCCCCCGATTCGTATGCCACTCGCCGTGCGGCGCCCAGCACACTGCGCTCCACTGTTGCGCGTCGCGGGCAGGCGGGTCTCCTTCCCGTCACACACACGCACGCACGCACACGCGCACACACACACGCACGCGCGCGCGCACAGCAGAGGCGCGCTCACACACACACACGTACAGATACACGCGCGCACACACACACACACACTCCACGCGAGCGCGCTGTTTACGAGAAAGAAAAAAAAGTGCACGTCCAGGAATGCTCGTTGATTTTTTTACTTCTTCTTCCCTCCTCCTCCTGCTGCTGCTGCTGCCCTATTCCAGAAGTCTAGAGGTTTTGTTCAAAGCAGGTCAAGCGCAACTCGCCTTTGCGCGCACGGCAGAATTATCTCACTCCAAGCGCAGTCGCTCCCGCGCTTTCTCCCAACAACTCATTTAAGTTCTTAGGCGCTTTTTTAGTGTGCCCTCTCCTGTCCTTACTTTTGTTGTTGTTGAGGTGGGGGGGGGATTGGGTAGTGGTGGTGGGGGTCTTCGGAGAAGCGGAGGCGGAGTTTGTTTTGTACCGCGCCTATTTGTCAGAACGGTGCGCGCAGGTCGAGTTGGCGTGCAGATAGGCGGAGAGCGCGCAAAATGTTTCGCTCTTAAGGCGCTGGCCGCGGTCCACGCACGGAGCGCCCCTAGAGAGATCCCGTGATACCTGACACCCAGCTGCTACTTCTGTCGGCTCGCCTCCCAAATAGAGCACATACCATGCCCGAGCATGCTGCGCCCGACCTCGGCTGAGGATCTTGCTCAACTCCCGTGTCCGCGCTCCCATTCTTCTTCCGTTCCCTCATGCGACACCCTCTCCTCCTCTCTCTCTCTCCCTCCCTCCGGCCGTCCCCCTCTCTCTCTCTCCTCTCCCTTTCTTCGCCTTCCTCTCTCCTCTCCCTTTCTTCGCCTTCCTCTCTCTCTCCTCTCCCTTTCTTCGCCTTCCTCTCTCTCTCCCTTTCTTCGCCTTCCTCTCTCTCTCCCTTTCTTCGCCTTCCTCTCTCTCTCTTCTCTCCCTTTCTTCGCCTTCCTCTCTCTCTCTCTCCTCTCCCTTTCTTCGCCTTCCTCTCTCTCTCTCCTCTCCCTTTCTTCGCCTTCCTCTCTCTCTCTCTGCGGCCTTGCTGCCTGAGACTCCCGCTCTCCATCGATCCCGCCGAGCGGCAGGCGTTTGAGGACCGCGCCACTGCAGCCGGCGTTGATGCGTCTATGCCGGCGGCGCGCGTTCGGCGCATTAGGAACAGATCGGAATTGTGCCCAGAGACGCTGATGCGCCCGCTCGGCTCAGCGTGGGCGCCTGTCAGACCGAGCTGTTGCGACGGGTGTCACTCCGGCGCCGAACGTACGCGCCTAATGTATCCTGGCGGGGAAAAGTGACGCTGCAAGACGTGTGCAAAAATATTCATATTCTTTGGGTCTTTCGGTAAAGTCACGGAGATAGGTTCAAACATTTTTTTCCATAAAATGAACGAAAAAACTACGACGTTTCGATCGCATACGCAAGCGATCGTCATCAGGTGGAAAAAAAGGGGGGTAATTTTTTTTTTACCTATCGACGCGACTTTACCGAAAGACACAAAGAATATGAATTCCTGCAGTCACGAAAGCTGTAAGTCTAAATTTGCGTGCAAAATAACCTTCGTAGAAAATACGCTCCGCACACCTGTCTCGCAGTCATTAAACTATTGCTACATAGATTGATGCGATGGCAAAACAAGATCAATGCCGTGCCACTTTGTTCTATTAATCGAGTGTAGCTGCGCGCGCTGCAAGGTGTTGTAGGTTAGAAACACAGAGTCGCCCTTTGTGCGCCGTTAATTACTCGCGCTGAACTCTCGCAGGGGCATTGACTCCTTAATGGGCTCATTGTTGTTCCGTGTCGAGGGGCCGCTGATTGATAAGCGAGGTGCGTAACAAAAGCGACCTTGCACGGCAGAAATCGGGCCCCGAGGTGTCGTCTTTGCCAACACGAGGGGCAGGCGGCGCTGCGAGTGGCGCGGCTTTCCACGACTCCCGCGGCAAATGAACCGGGCACTTTTGGGTCCGCGGAGAGGGTGACCCCAGGCTAACCTAATGCGAGTAGAGGGGTGGGGGGGGCAGGAGGAGGCGGAGGGTTTCGCTGGGGTAGAGCAGAGAGAGAGAGTAGTTGTGCCGTTGACAGACAGACAGCTTCGGAGCTCCGCGCCCACAAGAGAAGAGAGGGAGGGAGCGGAGGAGGAGGAGGTGGGAGGTTGAGGTGGGGGGGTGTCCGGGCAGACAAACGGGGATTAGATGAAGGGGGCTGGCGTCAGGCACGGGGCGGGCAGACAAATCGCGCCCTATATTTATCCCCGAGCGCGCTTTCTCGGGCGATAAACGAGCAAGTCAACATGCTCGCACGAATGAAAAAAAAGAGGTCTCCTGTATGCGAGACCCCCCAATGAGCGCAATTAAAATGCGGCGCGGATCAACACGGCTACTGTTCGCTGCTGCGTTATCTGCTCGAGGCGAACGCGATGTCGGGGTAACTTTAGTGGGGGGAGGGAGGGGTGGCAATTTATTGGCGCACCCCCTCCCCCCTATCCCACGCCACCCCCCCCATCTCACTCGGCGAGCTACACACAGCCATTTGATAAATGCACACCGATCACTGTTCCCCACAACGCGCTGTTGCCGGAATGCTGTGGACGCGCCCCGCTTTGCGCGCACGAGAGAACTCGCGTCCAAAATCCCTCCCGTGCGACTCCACTCTGCCCGTGAGACAAATTGACGGCCGCCTGGGCAAGGCGATGGCGAGTGCGAGCCAGGGACGGGTGAGTTGCGCGTTTTGTTCCGCCAAGCTGCTACGGGGGGATGGGGAGGAGGGGAGGGGCGCATCACGAAGCATCGCCTCGCCGCCACGCAAATCGTCAGCAATTTGGTTCCAACGCGTTCGGATCGCATTGCCACAAGTCCGCGCAAGTGCTCGCGACGCGGCGCGTGTTTTCGTCGGCGTGTTGATGCGTTTATGATGTGCGTGTCCGTGTTACGAATGAGAATCATTAAACTGGCCGTTTAGCTCTGAACTTTTGTAACACGTTTTGATGATTCACGCGCGTGTCAAGTCTCACGAGCCCAGTCAACATATTACGGGGGTTGCTATTGAGAGCATATCACCTGGCATAGGAATGTGGAGTTTCTACAATTGGCTCAATGCAACCAGCGGAGATGATTATCGCTCAATGTGTTTGATTCTAATAAACCACACGTTATGAATATATATATATTTTAGTGGCTAGATAATTGAAATGTATTTGTTCACACACTACATATATCACGATGCCAAACACATCGTAACAGGGCCCACAAAACATACAACTATAAAACTGGTATTTGGCCGTAACTCTGCAAAAGGACCGATGCCCGAAACGTCAGACAAATACTTTTGTTACGCGGCAGCGGTGACGATGAATGCGGCGATTGTCGCATTTTTCCTACATGGTCACGGGGTCAATAAGGAATGCGACTATTTGTGTTCTTCACGTTTCTGTTATAAGAGAGTGTTATATCCCAGGAGCGGTGACGGACGGCGACGATGGGAGTCATTCCTCCAGCAGTGGATCGATCATGACCGTGGTCATTTCTTGTGATGCGATCTGCCCTTGGGCACCGCTGTCTCACGCGTCCCCACGCCTTGTCCCCCCGTCTACTTTGTGAACATTGAGTTCCCGATGTTATTGATGTTCACAGGACGCCGTTGTTGTTGTTGATGGTAATTGCCGTCGTTGCGTCGAATCGCTCGCGATTCATTTCAGTGACATCGCACGCAAAAAAACAAAACCACACACACACACACACGGGCAGTGCTCGTCCTTAAACAAATCCGCACAATTACCCGAGGCACGGACAATGTTTATCCGTTCGTTGTTGGGATTAAACGCGATTGCGAGGAGGGAGGAACAAACACACGAACAACTAAATATGAGTTCCCCCACGGTGAACCAGGGTCATCCTCATGAGCCACACTTCGTCTCACCCAGGCCCCCTCCCTCCCTCCCCTCCCTCCCTCCCCTCCCTCCCTCCCCCCTCACCTCCCTCCCTCCTCCCCCCTCACCTCCCCCCCTCCCCCCTTCCCTCCCTCCCTCCCTCCCTCCCCTCCCCCCCTCTGGTGAAGTAAACGTTATTCATGTGCTCATTATTAAAGGCACTCAACGGACCCTGAGTGCTAGGCACTGTATATTACCCCGCCACTTCATTCCAGCCTTCGTCAGCTTTCAATCGGCTTCAGTTACGTCTCGCCGAGCCGCGACGCCAATACATGTCAGGGTTGATTTAGCGCTAAGGTTTGAATTCATCATCAATTACGGGCAATTGCAAGGAGTGTATACCATAGAGGGGGGGGGGGGGGGGGCGAGTGGGGGTGCGACTCCCGAAGGTTTTCCCCTGTTTCACACACTACGTGTAGTTACGAGACGACTTTGAATATATGTCTGTGTGTGACAATTATCTAAACCGGTGCTGGACCTCCTCTAGGTCGACTCAGCCTCAAATGAGTACCTCGCGCGGTGTGTAAACAACGCCCATTACGCTACAGCAGCACCCATATATATGTGTGTGTGTGTACATAGTATGCACAGACACATATATATGTACCATATAGCCTTCGTCCATACTATGTACACACACATAGGGGAAACCCATCGCCCTGCTGATGCAGACACGGGCACGTTTCGTCAAATACTGGATGGAGACCAACACGGGCCAACCAACCTCGTCACTTGCACCTAGTTTAAACTAAAACTATTCAAAATATACTATACATTTTTTTTTACCAGGTAAGGTCCACTGAGCTACGTGGCTCTTTTAAAGAAGCTTCCCGGTCACAAATGAGAGCTCAACGAAGTGGCTTATCACGTGGAAATTCAGAGCAGCCAAACACTCTAAACGCGTGGTGATGTTGATTGTAAATGTGGAAGGGAAAACCGGAGGATCCGGAGAGAAATCCACTCGACCACTTGAAGAGAGAGAGAGAGAGACGCGGATACTCCAAATATACAGCAGGTGTCAGGGTCGGGATCGAACCCATGCACTCCTGTAACCCAGGCGAGGTAGTCAACATCTCATCACACAATAACTCATGGCCTCCTGTATACCAGGCGAGGTAGTCAACATCTCATCACACAATAACTCATGGCCTCCTGTATACCAGGCGAGGTAGTCAACATCTCATCACACAATAACTCATGGCCTCCTGTATACCAGGCGAGGTAGTCAACATCTCATCACACAATAACTCAAGGGGGCCGGGGGGGGCACGATACAGTCAACGCTCAACGAATTTTCAACAAATATTAAACGCTCAACAGGTTAGACAGCGATACGATATGCATGCGTCTATCATGCATTCTGCTCTCGCTCTCACTCCCGCTGTGTGTAAAGCCACCGCGCGTGTAAAATGTGAGACCAACATTTTTTTGGACAGATCTGTAAGTATTCAGGATGTAAAAAAAAATATAATAGACAGATAAGATTAGCAACATAAATGTATTACGGAAAGTAACTACAAAAAAAAAGTAAAGCAGGTTCGATTTCTTGGCCATGCAATGGGAAAACAAGAGACTCAATATTAATTTGTGTAGAGTGGGAAAGAGGAGAGACAGGGATTCAGAGAGGGGGCTGAGCCTCAGCAGAGGGTGGGGGGGAGAGTGGAGGTTCACCCCTCACTGCCCCCCCCCCCCCCTACTACCGGACATCGGTGAAAAATATTTTTATAGCTCATCAGATTTCTCCAATATAAGTAAATATTCTGATTACTATGGCAAACACATGGATAGGGCTCTCTACATTGCGTGTTAGAATGGAGTGGTGCGGCAGAGTTTGGCGCACTGCGCTCTTCACATCAGTGACGAGGAATAAATATCTTGAACCGGGCCTGGACTCCAACTGGGTGAACGTTACACGACTCCCATGCCCGGCGCGGCGCGAGAAGGCCTCCATCCAGCAGTTGATCGACAAATAGGATTTCATTTATCATCATTATTAGTGTACAAGTGAACTGGGCGAAGACCCCGGGGCCGGCCCAGGACATGCTGCTGCTGGCGGGACGATGTCGCTCGGATGGCCCCCAGGAAGAGCTCGTAGTCTGTGTATAGTAGTGTAGTGTATAGTGTAGTGTATAGTAGTGTATAGTGTAGTGTATAGTGGTGTATAGTCTAGTGTATAGTAGTGTATAGTGTAGTGGTGTATAGTAGTGTATAGTATAGTGTGAAGTGTATAGTAGTGTATAGTGTAGTCGTGTACAGTAGTGTATAGTGTAGTGTATAGTATAGTGTGCAGTGTATAGTAGTGTATAGTGTAGTAGTGTATAGTGTAGTGTATAGTAGTGTATAGTATGTAGTGTACAGTAGTATATAGTGTAAAGGTGTATAGTGTAGTGTATAGTGTAGTGGAAAGTAGTGTAGAGTGTAGTGTATAGTAGTGTATAGTGTAGTGTATAGTGTAGTAGTGTACAGTAGTGTATAGTGTAATATATAGTGTAGTGTATAGTAGTGTAGAGTGTAGTGTATAGTATAGTAGTGTATAGTGTAGTGTATAGTGTAGTAGTGTACAGTAGTGTATAGTGTAGTATATAGTAGTGCATAGTGTATAGTAGTGTATAGTGTAGTGTATAGTAGTGTGTAGTGTATAGTGTAGTGTATAGTAGTGTATAGTGTAGTGTATTGTAGTGTGTAGTGTATAGTATAGTGTGAAGTGTATAGTAGTATATAGTGTAGTAGTGTATAGTAGTGTATAGTGTAGTGTATAGTAGTGTATAGTGTAGTAGTGTATAGTGTAGTGTATAGTAGTGTATAGTGTAGTGTATAGAAGTGTATAGTATAATAGTGTATAGTAGTGTATAGTGTAGTGTATAGTAGTGTATAGTGTAGTGTATATTATAGTGTGTAGTGTATAGTAGTGTAAAGTGTAGTGTATAGTAGTGTATAGTGTAGTGTATAGTATAGTGTGTAGTATATAGTAGTGTAGTAGTGTATAGTAGTGTATAGTGTAGTGTATAGTAGTGTATAGTGTAGTGTATAGTAGTGTATAGTGTAGTGTATAGTATAGTGTGAAGTGTATAGTAGTGTATAGTGTAGTAGTGTACAGTAGTGTATAGTGTAGTAGTGTATAGTAGTGTATAGTGTAGTCGTGTATAGTAGTGTATAGTGTAGTGTATAGAAGTGTATAGTATAGTAGTGTATAGTAGTGTATAGTGTAGTGTATATTAGTGTATAGTGTAGTGTATATTATAGTGTGTAGTGTATAGTAGTGTAAAGTGTAGTGTATAGTAGTGTATAGTGTAGTGTATATTATAGTGTGTAGTGTATAGTAGTGTAAAGTGTAGTGTATAGTAGTGTATAGTGTAGTGTATAGTATAGTGTGTAGTATATAGTAGTGTAGTAGTGTATAGTGTAGTGTATAGTAGTGTATAGTGTAGTGTATAGTGTAGTGTATAGTAGTGTATAGTGTAGTGTATAGTATAGTGTGAAGTGTATAGTAGTGTATAGTGTAGTAGTGTACAGTAGTGTATAGTGTAGTAGTGTATAGTAGTGTATAGTGTAGTCGTGTATAGTAGTGTATAGTGTAGTCGTGTATAGTAGTGTATAGTGTAGTGTATACTAGTGTATAGTATAGTGTGAAGTGTATAGTGTAGTAGTGTATAGTAGTGTATAGTGTAGAGTATAGTAGTGTATAGTGTAGTGTATAGTATAGTGTGTAGTGTATAGTAGTGTATAGTGTAGTAGTGTATAGTAGTGCATAGTGTAGTGTATAGTAGTGTATAGTTTAGTAGTGTATAGTAGTGTATACTGTAGTGTATAGTGGTGTATAGTGTAGTAGTGTATAGTGTAGTGTATAGTGGTGTATAGTGTAGTAGTGTATAGTGTAGTGTATAGTGGTATATAGTGTAGTGTATAGTAGTGTATAGTGTAGTAGTGTATAGTAGTGTATAGTGTAGTGGTTTATAGTAGTGTATAGTGCAGTAGTGTATAGTAGTGTATAGTAGTGTATAGTGTAGTGTATAGTAGTGTATAGTGTAGTGTATATTATAGTGTGTAGTGTATAGTAGTGTAAAGTGTAGTGTATAGTAGTGTATAGTGTAGTGTATAGTATAGTGTGTAGTATATAGTAGTGTAGTAGTGTATAGTAGTGTATAGTGTAGTGTATAGTAGTGTATAGTGTAGTGTATAGTGTAGTGTATAGTAGTGTATAGTGTAGTGTATAGTATAGTGTGAAGTGTATAGTAGTGTATAGTGTAGTAGTGTACAGTAGTGTATAGTGTAGTAGTGTATAGTAGTGTATAGTGTAGTCGTGTATCGTAGTGTATAGTGTAGTGTATAGAAGTGTATAGTATAGTAGTGTATAGTAGTGTATAGTGTAGTGTATATTAGTGTATAGTGTAGTGTATATTATAGTGTGTAGTGTATAGTAGTGTAAAGTGTAGTGTATAGTAGTGTATAGTGTAGTGTATAGTATAGTGTGTAGTATATAGTAGTGTAGTAGTGTATAGTGTAGTGTATAGTAGTGTATAGTGTAGTGTATAGTGTAGTGTATAGTAGTGTATAGTGTAGTATATAGTATAGTGTGAAGTGTATAGTAGTGTATAGTGTAGTAGTGTACAGTAGTGTATAGTGTAGTAGTGTATAGTGTAGTCGTGTATAGTAGTGTATAGTGTAGTCGTGTATAGTAGTGTATAGTGTAGTGTATACTAGTGTATAGTATAGTGTGAAGTGTATAGTGTAGTAGTGTATAGTAGTGTATAGTGTAGAGTATAGTAGTGTATAGTGTAGTGTATAGTATAGTGTGTAGTGTATAGTAGTGTATAGTGTAGTAGTGTAT